CTGCACCACCAGAGTGGGACCACGCAGGGATGCCCGCTGCCACCACAGCCCAGGGCATTGTTGCTGGGGTGTGGACAGGGCTGGGGTCCCCAGAGATGTCCCCAAGCTCTGGCTGTCCCTCAGAGCCCCCAGCCTGCCCAGTCACATCCCTCCATGCTGTGGCTCTGGCATGCAGCGATGCTCCTGGGAAAGGGCCTGGTACAATGGAGCGTGCTGATGGGGGAACAGCAAAACCTGCTGCAAGGTGCTCTGCCGAGGGAGCTGAACCTGCCCGGGGAGTTTGGGAGAAGCTGATTAGTCAGTTTAAAGCAAGAAAAGAAGATTTCAAAAAATTGTTGAATTGTTGTTTGAAAAGCTGAATTTTTTGTAAATGATTTCCAGAGCAAAACTTTCAGTTTGTCCCTTCCGGAGCTCGTCCCGCTCAGGAATGAGGCACAGGAAGGAGCTTCCAAAACAACACCGGGCTCAGCCGGAGCGGAGGAGCTCGGCGGCGGCCGGGAGCATGCGGCTGCACTGGCAGCGTGTGGCCGTGCCGGGAGCCCAGCTCCCTGCCAGGGTGGGCCGTGGTCACAGCCAGCTGCTGACCGTGGGGCAGGGTCACCAGGAATGCAGAAAATCTCCATTTTGTTTTGATGCAGAATGAGCTTTTTCCCCAGTTCTTTGTTCAGCAGCTGAACAGAACCTCACGGTCTGGGGGCTGCGTACCACGGCTCCTTCCCTGGCTCGGGCGGTGTGTTGGTGAGCCCAACCTTGACTCCCATTGCTCCCATTGCACCCATTGCACCCATTGCACGGCTCCACGGGTGGGTTTCGAGCAGGAGTGGGTGCCGCAGCCCCTGCCTCCCTCACCGCCTCCTGCACCGCATCTCCCTCCCCGCGCTGCCGCGCGTCCAGCTCTGACCACCCACCGCACTTGAGAAACAAATCCCGGCGCCTCGCGGGGAGTGCCGGGCTCCGAGACCATAAAGCTCTTTCTCATCTGACTCCTATTCCTTTCGCAATCTCCCAGCACTGGTTTATTGCAGCCTCTTCAGCGAAACGAGGGTATTATCCAGCCCTGTGATACTGCATCTGTCTTCCTTCTATTAAAGGCAGCGAGCACAATGGCACTGCAGAGCTCTTCTGCTGGCGCTGGAGTTGCTCTCGGGGAAGCATCACTGAGAACCCCCAGCGCTTCCCCAGCACCGGCCTCGCAGGAGAGG